CAGAGCCCCTGGAGAGGGTATAGCAGGGAGCAGCCTGTGCTGATCCCTTTGGCTCCTGGTCGGGTTCCAGTGTTGATGCAGCTTTTCTCTTTTTTAGCCTGAGCTTACGTCGACTCCAAACTTTGTTGTGGAAGTCGTAAAAGATGATACGAAGCAGACCCTCGTTCTTGACTGCCATTACCCAGAAGATGAGGTGGGTATCCAGGTCGTGTGTCAGCCGTAGCCAGCTCTGGGCCATCACTCGCTGTGCGTTTCCCGCTGGACTGTAGCGTAGTTGTGCCGCTGTTGAACCTGACGGCTCTTCACAGGCTGCTGGTTTCCTGAATCTGCAGCAAACGCAGTCTCCTAGCTGTCTCTTGTTTTAACGTGTGCAAAAAAAGGCTTTGTGTTTGCAAGAGCGCTCTGGGGAGATGTTTCAAGGCCAGGCTGGATGAGGCTTGGAGCAACCTGGTCTAGTGCAAGGTGTCCCTGCCCATGGCAGGGGGGTTGGAACTGGATGGTCTTTAAGGTCCCTTCCAACCCAAACCATTCCGTGATTCTGTGATGTCCCACTGCGTTCTGCACACCCGGACCTGGCGCTCCTGAGCAGCTGCTTACTGGCCAGCGTGTGACTGACACTGGAGAAGAGGGGCACGGCTTAACGGCACGACAGCGTGAGGGGGTAAACGAGAACGGCCAAAATGGGATAGACTTCACACTGTGTCAGCAACTCTCAAATCTCCTTGTTGTGAGGTGTCAGAGAAGTAAGGATTAAAAAAAAAGGGGGGAGAAAATAAAACTGAGAGCTTTGCTTCGGCGTGGTCGTTGTGGTTTATTTTGTAAGCCAGAAAAAAAGTAAGGAAAAAAAGCATGAACTTTTTATTTTGTGGTTTATTTTGCATAAAGGGGTCCTTTATGCAGCCAGTCCAGGCTGACAGAGGTTGTAGAGATGTGTGAAGACACTTAGAACCACACAGAAAAGGTTTTTACGCCTCTCTAAAAATGAGGCCGCTGAGTTAGAGCATCGTGAGCTCTAACACACTGACCTCAGCGGGGATCTCCTGCGTTCTCCTGCTTGTCCTGCGATGCGCGGGGAGAGGCACAGCTTAGGTGCCAGTCTTGGGGGCTTTGCCTGAGGCACAGCATTCCTTCTTCGGGATGGGATGGCCGAAGGGCCCCAGCAGGTAGATCTAATCTGTGTGTCTTGCATCTCATCTCCTGTTTCAGGTTGGACAGGAGGGAGAGGAAGAAAGTGACATTTTCACAATCCGGGAGGTGAGTTTCCAGCCCACTGGAGAATCGGATTGGAAGGACACCAACTACACCCTCAATACGGATTCCCTGGACTGGGTGAGTGCTGACACGGCACCAGAGGGCCCTGCGGCGTTCCTCACCTGGCTGTCTGTCCACTCCCTGATTGAGCCCTGTCCCCTGGGACGGGACACTCCCTGCCCTGAGCTGGTGGCTGTGCTGCGGCGGGGGGTGCGGCGCGGTCCCCGCGGCTCTGCGGAGCTGCCGGCGGTGCTGGCAGCCAGAGACGGGCGTGTTGAAACTTGTTCTGCTCCCGCAGGCTGATGTGTTACACACTCTGGCACTTGCTCAAGCATCTTTTGAGCTCAGGGTTTGACAAAGTAGCTTATCAGGTGTCACGTGCAGATGATGCCTTTGCTTTCTGGGTCTTCCTGGTATGTTTTTATAGTTGTGACACCAAAAACTACGCAGATGCCCAAGAATCTGGCATCTTCTTACATGTGCCAAGCTTTCAGCAGGTTAAATCTCAGCTGGAGGCTGTGTATGGCATGATTAGAACTTTGCTCCTAGAGCGCATCTCTCTCTGGGAAGTGTTCATGCTAGAACTGGATAGTGTGCTCCGGAACATCCCACGCTGCGCTTTTTAATACCCCCTCTCTGACCTGAGATGATAGAAGATTAATCTTAAGTGTGTGATTTGTGATCTCAGCAGATTACAGAAGCCCACAGTTAACTACTTGCTCAGTCATGTTGGTATGTTTAAAAACCCCCAAGAAGCATGTGCCAGGTATTGGCATTACTGCAGGAATCATGAATCCACTCTCCTGAGCCAGCAGCGAACCCCCAGCCATTAACATATCCACCAGTTACGTAGGATTAAAGAGAAGGATGGGGAGGGGGAAGGAAGAGCTGATGGCTCTGACGGGGTCTCTCAAACAACTATTTGTGTCAGACCTTTCCAGACACCATTAAAGCAATTCACCCCCAAGGCCGTAGCACCGAACGGGGGGGCGGGCAGAGTCGGTGTTGCCCTGACACCCCGCAGCCGGTTGATCAGCGCAGCTCGCTTGGGGT